ATCATATCTTCTCCACTAGACCATCAGCTGTCTATTCTGATTCATCCTTATTTCAAATGTGCCTTGCAAATACTGGGAATTTCCTAAAAACATGTTGAATTGGAGAGCCCAGTGGAATTAGAACAGATGGAGCTCGGGATCAACACTCCATTTCTTGTACAAGAGATCTTCACTCAGAGCCCAAACCAAAATGTTAACATTGGTGGTACATTAAGTTCCATGGTAGGGGAGTGGCAAGACTGGAGGGCAGTACGTGGAAGATGTGGTCTGAACCTTCCAGGAACACATTGTCTAGCCAGGAAGAAAGATAAACAAAACAATGAGGTAATTAGAAAAGCTAACTACTGGAGGAGCTAAAAGAGTCAGTGCATTTTTAAATCAGAGTGTGCTACAGATCAGAAGACCAAAACACATAAAGTTTAAGGAAATTGCCTGAAATCACATAGCTAGAAGGGGCAGAGCTGGGTCTCAAACCTGGGCAATCTAATAATGAATCTATCTCTGAAGCACCATCTAACCTGGTTTAAATGTAAAACAGTACCTGCTGAGATAGTAAATTGTGTGGCACAATTTTGAGTGGTTTGTTGAGGTGGGAAACAACCCAAACAAAATGTGTTATCTTCTTTTGTCGACCTCATTTTAAACTGCTCCTTACTACACATGCTGAAAAGTGAATCCTTCTCCTTCTGTTTGCATTCACATGAGCAGCCACTTCAGCTAGGAACGTAAGAGTCCTCTTCAGTATGCTCACATTTAGTCACCCATTGATATTGTGTCTTAACCACTTTCCACCTTTACTCTTCTCTATCATCCACAACATTTCTTGTCTTGACCCTTGCAGTAGCTTCCATGACCCAAATCTTTCTCCCCTGTGATTCTCTATGATTCTCTTCTCACCCTTCTGCCTCAGTTATCTTTCTAGAACAAATATTTGACTATTTGCCTTCTTGGCTTTTCTCTTTGACCTATAGAACTGAAACCAAGGTCCTTAAGATCTTTGGGAACCAGCCCTTCCAGCATCTTGACATTCTTACCTTGCTAACCTACTCATCCAGTCCATAAACACAGTTACTTCTGCCTAAAATTACCCTCCCCTCGCTCCTCTATCTGGCTTCTCTTTCACTTTACAACTCAGGCATCACAGATTCTGGGCCATCCTTTCCCTCCCCAACCACCCACTCCAAGCTCCCTGTGTTGTTGTATCATAGCATTCATCACTCTAGGAGACAATAACATAGTGGTTATTTACAAAGGCTCTTTAAATCAGATCACCTGAATTCTATCCCTACCATGTCATTTGATAACTATGTAAACTTCAGCAAGTTACTTAACCTCTTTGAGCCTCACTTTTCTCATCTGTAAAACAGGGATAATAATGCCTCATAAAGTTACTGTGAGGATAAACTAAAATAATTCATGTAATGTACTTAGAATAGTAGCTGGCACTTACTTGATCTCTTACTATTTAAGTAGTAGCTATTATTATCATCTGTCTTATAATTTTCTTGTCTGGTTTTCTCATCAGATGTGTGGGCTGGATCAGGATCTCATTTGTCTTTCTACCTATACTTGGCAGATGCAGAGATATAGTAGGCACTTGAAAAGCTTTTGCTGAATTAATGATGGAAATATGGATGAATAGATGATGAATGGATTGCTGAATAGATGACTGGATGAATGGGTTGATGGATAGATGGGTGGGTTAGTGGGTTGGTAAGTGGGTGGATGGATGGATGGATGGATGGGTGGATGGGTAAATGGATGGGTTTATGAGCTAAATGGATAGGCAGCTGGTCAAATGAGTAGTTAGATAGACTATATAGCCCTGTTTACATAGTGTAGAACAAAGGAATACTGTGCCTGAAGTCAGTTGTGTCAGCCACCTGAAAAGAAGTTTCTGCAGTATATGATTTATTAAGTTTGGGATTGTTTTTTTTCTAAGCACAGCTGTCTTCCTGCTCAGGATTTTTTGTTTCAGGCAATCTGTTACTTGCAATATCACTGTATCCTTGTAAATTTAGACCTTCAGTAAATCTTCTTCAAGGCTTAGGAAAAACATGCATGTAAACTGTTTTGGTCACAGAATAAAGACCTGTGATACTTGCCCTGGATAACCTTGCAGTTTAATTGAGAAAAGATACTCAATTAATAGAGGTTTGTCAGCTACCATCATTCTGGAGTTGCCTTGAATTGGGTCAAAGGATAACTCAGTAAAAGATACTTAAAGAAGTTGGTCTGTGGTTTGAAGCTGAAGAAGGAGGCATGTTGTCTTGAGGTAGTGGCTCAGGTGGAGGTGAAACCTGAAGGTTAAGAGCAAAAACACTAGAGGATCCAGAATACTGAATGTAGCCTGATGCTCTGGAGTGGGTGGCTGCTGATAATTGTTTATTTGTGTGGATGAGGTGGGGACACAAACCACCTTAATTGAACTCCACCATATTCCAGGTGTTTAAAGTAATTTAATTTAATTTCAAATTAGTTTGATGTAATATACATAGAATACTTTACGTATTATATATTATATCTAAGTTGAATACAATTTAGCTTAATATAATCTAATGCTAATGTCCACAATGACTCCTGGGCTTAGAAAATAATTTGTCCCCAAGTTTGAGATGAAGACTGGGACTCAGGGCTGTGTAGTGACTTTCTCAAGGCCATACAATTGGAAGTGGTGGTACCGAGATGCTAAGGCTTATTGTATTTCTACTCTTCAAAGTTGTTTGAGCTGTCATTCATCAACGCCATTCTCCTTGGTGCATGGATCAAGAAACAGAGATCCAAGAAGAGGAATTTGCTTGTCTAAGATGTCACAATGAGCAAGTAGGATTATATTGCTGGTCTCTTGGTTCTCAGCCATTGTTATTGACAATATGTAGAACATAAATGTCCTGTAAATCGATCCTGAGCTTTCTGACCCCAAAGAATCACATTTCCAGGCACTGGACCAGCCAACCGTGAGACAAAGGAATGATCTCCTTATAGTGTCAACCTGTATGGCTGGTGAAGGAGATTTGATGACTTGTTGTGGAATCTTCCAGTTCCCAGCCATCACAGTCCCCAAGTCTTCACTCTCTCTTATCATGTAGGGCTATTGTTCTTTCAGTCTAGGCTACTGAACAGCCTTCTATGTGGCCAGATCTTGCTGCACCGTGCCTCATGTTTCCAAGCTCAGCCACCTAAGGAGGCACTGGGCTTTCCTTCTGCTCTGGTTTCTTATCTTTCAGAGTCATTTTCCTTCTGGGGCTATGGGGTTGGGCTTTGCCAACTGATGAGAGAAAGCCTAGAGATAGTCCTGCCTTGAGAGCTTTAACCATTTCCTACTTGAGATAGGAAAATGTGGAGCTCTGAAAACATGTCCCCACCTCTGCAATTATAAAGACTGTATCTTCCTTGCCAAGCAACTAGGATAATGTTTGCAATTAACCAAATAATTTAAGAAAGGAAGAAACTATTCTTTCCTACTCAAATGGATATTTAGGGACCTGAACTATCCAGCAATTGTTCTCAATCCATAAATGTATCACTTATTGTAAGTGTAGTTAAATCTGATATGAAACAAAAACATTCCTATTTATACTCTTACAACATAAGAAACATTATAACAAAGGGAATATCATGGACTTATTTGAGGTTTTTGACAGCTCAGAAACCAAGAGCTAGTAGGGACAATAGAAAGAGATTGAAGGCAGTGATTTTTCAAACTTTCTTTTGGAAGATAGAATTCTTAGCCTTATGAAATCTTAAATGAAACTCCAATTTGCAAAATAAACAAGGATGGAGATGCTCTTGCTTTGGTGGATGGTGGGGAACTGGCAGTCCCATCTGCTCAGTACTCTCCTTCATTACAATGTGGCTGCTCTGTGGAATCCTCAGCCTTCTGGGAACACAGTTTGAAAAATATTGATCTAGCTCAACCCATCTAAGGAGCAGATACAGAAATGAAGTCACAGAAAGTTTATTCTAGGTAGAGGCTGTTCAAAGTGAAGGTTGGAACTCCTCTCTTGCCATACAATGCTCTTTCATGATAAGACTGAATATTGTTCTGGTCTTCTGCTTCTGTGTAACAAAATATTCCCAAAATATAATGGCTTAAAGAACAAAAATCATTTATTTTGCTCATGAGTCTTCACTTTGGGCAGGACTTAAAGGGGATAAATTTCTTCTCCTCAGTAATGTCAAGGGTTTCTGCTGGGATAACTTGGTTGACTGGGGCTAGAATCGCTGGGGCCTAGCTAGAAATTTCCTCATCTTCACATAGTCCCAGGGCTTCTCCATGTGACTTCTCCAACATGGTAGCCTCAGGGAAATTGGATTTCTTACATAGAGACTAAGAGAGTTCTGGACGAAGCTGCCAAGTCGTCTTTTTTACCTATCTTAGAAAGTCCTGGACATAACTTCTACCATAGTCTATTGGCCACACAGGGCCAACCCTGATTCAGTGTGAGAGGGCATGGCACTAGGGCCTGAGTACCGGGGAGTGCAAATCATTGGGGAGCCATCTTGGATGCTGGCTCTATAATTTCCTTGCTTTTGGCATGTCCTTACTGAATAGAGTCTGATGAGATTTCACCTGAAATAGAGAAGACAAAAAGAGTCACTCTGGTGTTGATTAGATCTCAGAAACATCGTCATGTGGAAGAGTGACAGACTAGTCCTAGAAGGACTATAAAGTTGACCATAAAACAACAGCAACAACAACAAAGCAACTTTCAAATGTCTACAACAGCCAACATGAAACCTGGCTTCCTCTGTGTGAGGTAATGAGTTTCTCTATCATAGGAGAGGTCTCTCTCATTTCTTCTACCACAGAAAATATCTGATTCTCAGTGAAGACAGTTAGTAGAGGAACTTGGCATCTCTTTGAACTTAGGGATGCTGAAATAATATGTGCATTTCTAAGAATCAAGATTTCATTAAAATCTAATTCTTGTTTGTTTGTTTTTTCTTTTTCCCCCTTTTTGGACATTTCCTTCATCTGACTGCCCATCAATATATAGAAGAAATGCTTATTCCTACTCCTATTACTTGTAAGTATCGAGCTGGTGTTAACTTTGCTTCGTGCCCTGTAAGGGAACTTGTAGCATGCATTTCCTGCACCAACCAAGTGTCTGCTGGTTTCTCATATTCAGTTCTGCCTCAGTTGTCTGTAGCTTTAAAGTTTTTATTTTGCATAGATGTGTTCCATTTGAAAATGCATTGTCATTGTTCAAGTCTGTTATGTTTCTGCCATCTTAGATATTTTCCCCCTATTTTTGGAGATATGAAGGACTGTTTCTCCCTTGTGAGTATAATTTCCCAGTTAGGAATCTCTTAATTCCAGCAAGAGGGGAACCCATTTCTCCTACAGGTTTTGCACACATAAAACAGAATACAGATATCAGCAACTTCTGAGTCCATTTGTGTCTACTTGGAGAATGAGTAGCCCTGGGGGCTCAAAGATTAGGAAGGAAGTCATTGGCTGTTTTCACTATTTTTGAAAGTCTACAGGGGATCATGACTTTATCTAAAACCATCCTCACAGGTGACAGAAACATCCAATGTCTTTTCTTTGGGCCGGGATTATCTGTTTGGTGTGTAGTATTAGTCATCACATGTTATCTGTGTATTTTGTTGGGAGTTATAGGTGAATGCTTGCCTACCTTTCTTTTTACACTTGCTAAATAAAGGTGATTATGTTTATTATTATTAAAATATAAATTATCAAAACATGAGAGTAAAGGAGGAAAACTCTGTAGAATAGATCTTTGATGATAAAAAGTTACAGAACCATGGAACTAGTCCCACATTCCTAATATGCAATTTCTAATTTTGGAAATTGAGATCCTTGGGGGTATGTGAACTCATCATACATCTAGCTAGCAAAATGATGGGATTAAAACTTAGAATGCCTGACTTCTGGTAAAGTGTATTGTCATACAGTCCTTGTCCCTCACCCTGGCCAAACCCAGCTTTATGAGAGAGGCCATGCCTACTGGAGATTATAAGCTGAAGTTTTCACATATGAAGATGGAGCCACAAAAGACTGCCCCATTCCCTCTGCTCAGTATTGGGTCTATATTTTATATGCCTTGTATCACCATTGGTGTTATATAGGAACAAATGGATCCCCCCCCCCCTGCCACCGGAATGCTGAAAGGACCAGAGATCTTACTTCATGTGTTTATTCATTCATTTCACAAACATGCATTGAACATATGCATTATGTTCCAGGCAGTGGAGATGGAGAAATGACTAGGGCTCTGAGCTTCACCCTCCAGTGTTCAAGCCTTTCTGAAAGACTGACATAAAAATCAAATAATTGAAATGTCAGCTGAGAGGTGCTTATACACACTGTGGTTTAGGAGTACCTTAGTTGAGTGACTAATTTTTTATGTGACAGAGTATGATTATCAGTATACTTAGAGATAACTTTACCCAATAACAGAAAATGAAAATTCTTAATGGAGGAAACAGCATCTGCAAATACAAAGAGGTATGAAATAATAAGATATGTTGTTGCTGTGGTGGAAAGAGAATGAGTTTCAAAAGTCATGCATCTCCAAGCCCAAGTCCCACTTCTGTAACTAACCAGTTATAGAGCCTTGAGCAAATTTACTAAACTATTTGTATCTCCTTTCTTGTAATTCTAAATGGGAGTAATAGTACCTGACTTTTAGAGTTATACTGGAAGAAGGGATGAGATAATTGTTTAAAGTACCTTGTACCAAGTTGGCACTCATGAAATGTTAGTTTTCTTTCTTCTCCCACTCTTTCCAGAAACCACAGGGGTCATGGCAGAAGTGGTGAACCTGGGAGCCCCTCTGGTTTTCCAGGGGTTCTTAGGGCATCCTTGTTCCACAGCAGGTATGGGCATGCAAGGACCCATCACAACCACTGGCATCTTACTGCCTATCTGTCCTCCACTGTACCTGTGCTGGGCGCTGGGGTAGAATCCAAGATGAACAGCATAGAAGGGTAGGAGGCAGATCTGCAAACAGTGGTAGTTCAAGGAGCAATAATAAACACAAACCTCTCAGTAGTGCAGACATGAAAGTCTACACAAGGTTCTGGAGTGTGAAACTCATGCCAACAGTGGAATGCAGATGCATCTGGATGGGACACGGGCTTTCTATTATAATATTCATAATTTCATACTCACCAACCCCAAAGCACCCATGTGTGTCATATATTATATGTCACTGTAATATTGTGCCTTCTATGAAGAATCCTTATATGGTTAGAATTTCTTTTAAGCATCATCTTCCCATCCCCAGCCTCTATTAAGCACTTGTGAGAGAAGATGGACAACCTCCTATAATTAAAGGGACAAAATAGATAAGGTGTGTTTAAATATCTAGACAGGAAGGAAGAAGGGGAAACTACCACCAGATGTCACGTACTTAATACAAACATTAGCTTACCAAGTCCTCCTATTATTTCAGTCTGGTAGGTACCATTATCCCTATTTAATGGGAGAAAAATTGCTCAGAGAAAGTAAATCATTCTTCCAAAGCTACCCAGAAGTAAATAGAAGGGACTATTGATTTTCTTGTAAATAAAGATTTCTGGAGGAGAAATAGTTTGGAGCAAAGAGAATGAGTGTGACACTGGATATTTGGGGCTGAGCATGGTGGTGGAACTCCCAAACAAAAGTGATCCATGGGAACTTGGAAATGCAGAGGTAGAATTGGGATGTGAGGTGGATGCATGGCACCTTTCTCTGAAAAGTGGCAGATGATAGTGCAGAATGGAGAAAACAGGCCTGAAGAAAGAGGTCAAGAACAGAAGGCTAAGGGCTGAGGCCCAAGAACTGACTATGGTTAAAGATTCAGAGGAGGAGAGAAACTGGCAAAGCAGAAAAGGGGAAAACAAAAAGAACCAAGGAGAGGAGGCCATTGCAGAAAGTGGAGTTGGCTAGCCATTGCAGATGCTGCAGAGAATGGAAGTGGATGGTGTGAGTATGACCTTGACATTTGATCATCAGAAATCACTTATGCAGGTTATGGGTGGGGAGGAATGCAGCCTTCCTGGGAACTATGAGGAAGCTCACCTTTAAAAAAAAAAAACTCACTGGGCTATAAAACAGAGGGGAAACAGGATATTGGCTGCTTGAAGTATCAGAAAGCCCTGGGCACAGCTATAGTTAAAGTAAAGGAGCCTGGGCAGAAGGAAAAGACTGAAGGTGCTGGAGGTGGGGCAACTATACGAGGAATGGTCTGGAGGCAAGGTGTTTGGAATCAGGTTTTGTGAGAGGAATGGATTTTGTGAGACTATAGGATTGAGAAAGAACCATGGAGATGGAGAAGAGGAAGCAGAAAGGAAATGGTGGCTCCCAATTGCTGATACAGACCCTGAGTGGGAGCCTTGGGCCCTCACTACTCAGCTTATGGACCACAGACCAGCAGCATCAGCATCACCGGAAGCTTGTCAGAGACACAGCATCTAGGGTCCCACTCCAAACTCCTGAACTGGGACCTACATTATAACATGATCCACATGATTATTATTCACATTAAAGTTTGAGAAGCATTGACTTAACCAAAGTCTCAGTTGGCTCATCTATAACAGAGGAAAAATAGTACCCTCTTCATAGGAGTTGAAGACCTCCCAGTCCCTCAAAAGCCCCAAAATCATCCACAAAGAAAACCTTCAGCACACTTTGGTTAGCCAGTCTATTCAATGAGATCGGTGTTTATTCATTCAACAAATACTTGTGGCGTACCCTCTAGGTTCCAGGCACTGGCCAAGGTTCTGGGTGTAGAGGGGCTAGCAACATGTAAAAATCCCCACTCCTATGGAGCTTTTAGTGGGGGAGATAGATAATAAACAATATACATAATAAAAATAAAAGTGTGTTATGAATGGTAAGCACTAAGAAGAAAAAAGTAAATAAACCAGGGAAAAAGGAAGTAAAGTCTGAGTGGGGGAGGAGCAAAGGAATTTTCTCCCAAAACCAAAGAGCCCTTCAAGTGCTCCCCTCATGGAAGGGATCCATATATAAGACTGGGGTCCACAAATATCTTCTTCAAGGAGTCGGATGTAAATGTTTGGGGTTTTACAAGCCCAACTGGTCTTTGTTGCATCTACTCAACATGTAGAAAACTCTGACATTGTAGCATGGAAGTAGTCACTGACAGTCTGTATATGAATGAATGTGACTGTGTTCCAATAAAAGTTTATTTTAAAAAACCAGGCAGTGAACTAGATTTGGCCGGCAAGTCATAGTTTTTCAGTTCTTGCCCCAAACTTTTGAGAGTAGGGAGGGGATGCGGTTCAAGATTCATTCTTCTTTATTGAACTCCTATTATGTGCTGCATCTTGTACTTGGTGTTGCAGACACCAAAAGTGAATAAGGCATACCTTGTACCAGCCTATGAAAGGGCAGAAGTTGAAAGGAATTACCAGTTGGTCCCTACTATGTGCCAGATTCCTCTAATGTTTATAATAAGCCTTACAAGATATATGTTATTGTGATGATTTTATTTGGTATTAAGACTAAAGTCTGAAGACTTGTCTATATCCAACAACCAGGAGGCAGCAGGGCTAAGTTTGAGCCCAGGACTACATGACCTCCAAGCCCTACCTATCCTTCTCACCATGTTCTGTTCTTCAGGGTAGAGAGAATTCCTGCCTAAACCATGTGCTTGGAGAGTCTCAACCAGGTTGTGGGAGATCCAGGGTCCAAATGCAAGTCTTTCTGCCTGTAGAGCTTCATTCTATGCATGGCTACCAATGCCTCACCAGGGATATGAAGTAGTAGCTATTCTATGCTGTAAAGGAGGCTTGGGAAATCCTATCTCTGTTGTCCTGGAGACTGACCACATGATATGGTAGGTCTCCCAGGCAGGCTGTGCACAGGTAACATGCTGAGGAGAGTCAAACCTGAGGGCACTGGGCTGCTGCATCAGAGGTAGCCAAGGGTTTAAGGCAAGAGGTGGCCATGGCCAAAAGATTGCTAATGGCCAGGATAAAGATGTCCCAGTAAAAGCAGAGTTATGGATAGAAGGATGTGGGGACCTGGGGACACAGGAGAGTTTAAGATAGGACT